GGTTTGGATCCTTGAGACGGTAAACACCAATGGCAGGAAACAAAAGGGGATATGTCTCAAAATCGATCTCAATGACAGCGCAGATGCATCCACTCCTTGCGACTTATCATTTGCAATGAAACTATGTTTTTCTTCGTTATGACTATTCCTTTTGTCTCATATCCCTGCTCCCTATGTCTATTTTGCATTTCTTCTACTTTCTTCTGTTGCTTTGTGTGCTACATGAAAGGAGTGTGGTGACTCGAACTGCTGCACATTGGTGCAAAGTTCTATGTCGAAAACAGACAGACAGATTACAATGAAATATATATATACGCCGGGTTAGATTTCAAATGATGGCAAGAATTTACTTAGTACTGATAAGAACATTCTACTAACACTAATTTCAGTAGATGGATGGTACGTAGATGTGATGTCTGCAGTATGATTGTAGTGACTGTATTTGTGTGTTGCTGAGAAAAGCTGTCTTTGTGTTCAACAGCACCTACAGTCTTAGCATCAGTATTGTTTATACCGACAAGATTTTACAAAATGCTAAGCACCACAATGCCAGCAGGATGATGGAGGTATCTTCCATGGACATTGGAAGGTATCGTGTGAGTAAGTGAAATAATGGACGGTCAAATTAAGATGAGGGATGGTCTGGCTAGAATGCAACGTGACTGTATGTGATTTCTGACGAATTGCCTATATTTCATAATCACCCTGACCTCGGAATGAATTTAGCTGAACTTTTATCATGCTGGAAGTTCTTTAATTATTGACACTCAGTATTATCGATGGGTCTCCTGCAGAGTTATCCAGCAACGTAATTTTGGTATCAAGAAACTTATGTCACCGCAGACTGAAGATAAGTATCAGCGCTTAAATGAATCGTCCGTTAAAGATTTAAATTTACATTTTCCGCACTCGCGACTGATCATACAACGTGTATGACGAAATCATCATTTTCATTCGTGACATCGAGAATACAAGAGAGAGAGAGATGATTGATCACCAAAGCGTTGTCTTAATATCTGCAGTATGACGTCTAAGGTGAGATAGTGTCGATTTTGAAGCAGAATTATATCGTAAAATTCGTCGAATTCAGATGGACGAAATTTTTAAAATTAACAGCCTGCATTTTCCAAGAATCATCCTGACCAGTAACATCCATTTTAAAATTATATGTAAATCACCAAAACCAAGTATCATCAAGTCAAACAGTGTGGCATCAGGAGCGTAAGAGAATTCAATAACGCAATTCGCAATCTCGTCCACTATCATGTATGATTTCAAAAGTTGAGACTGGCACATACTACTGTAACGACAGATGACAAGGGCCAGGCAGCAGATCATTTATTGGGGAAATCAAGAGATATTTATAGATTTTTATGTACATTATTATAGGTTATTGTTAGCAGAGAAGCAACGTCTTCTGATTGGTTGTGTTTTCTGCTGAAAGTTAATCTTTTATCTCTTTCCGGCTGTTTCTTGAATGTCACATCATCTATCTGCTAACTGTATCCGCCCACGCAACGTCTACTGTGGTTGGTTGTTGAGTTCCACAAGGCTAGGCTTTGTTCTTGTTTTTTTCTCATGACCTCGATTCGGGACGTAAACATTGACGTAAATTTCTGTCTACAATTTTGTCTTGCAGACAGCTCTAACCACACTACTACTACTAATAATAATAAATTCTCTCTGAAGAGCACCAAAGAGCATTGAAAGCTCTCAAAAATAATGACAAAATCGTCATATTGTGACCTGACAAAGGCTCAGGAGTGGTGCTGATGGACAAAAATGACTACATCGCAAAGATGAAAACTGTGTTAAGTAACCCGTTGAGGTTTAAAGTTGACAATTGCCAGGAAGATAAGACAGATGCAGTTGAAAAACGTATCATAAATGTACTGAGAGATCTTCTAAAGAAGAAATTGATTGACGGCAATACGTACAATGATTGGAAACCCTGAGGGTCCCGTTTGCCACACATGTATGGCTTTCCAAAGACACACAAAAAACAAGTCCCCGTGAGACCTATACTTTCGATGATCAACTCTCCTCAACATAAGGTTGCTCGTTGGCTTGCGGAGAAGCTGGAACCCATTCGTCAACGGCTAGCCGTGCATACCATGAAAGACTCATTTCATTTCTCCGAAAGTGTGAATCACATGAACGTTTCAGATCAGTTCATGGCGTCATTTGATGCAACCTCCTTGTTCACAATGATCCCAGTTAGTGAAACCATTGAGACCATTTGTCAACAGTCTGATCTTCTCCCACTCCCAGAGTCGGAATTCAAACTCCTACTGCTAGTGTGTACCATGGTTGTAAAATTCCAATTTGACAACACTCTTGACCGCCAAATAGATGGTATAGCTATGGGCAGTCCAATTAGCTCTGTTTTAGCAGATATCTTTATGTCCAACCTTCAAAGAACAAAGTTGAAGCATGCAATCGACGAAACAACTTATTATTGTCGATATGTCGATGACATATTTTTAATGTGCAACAATGAAAGTCATGCTTCCTACCAACCTACTCAGATTATTCAACAACGCGCATACGAATATCGAATTTACTATGGAACATGAAAATGATAGAAAGTTCCATTTCTTTGACATTGCCATTTAACGTCTAGAAGATGGTAGTCTCTAGAAGTCAATTTATCGAAAGCCTACATGTGTAACGACAGAAGGCAAGAGTCAGGCAACAGATCATTTATTAAAGAAATCAACGCATATTTATATATTTTCATGTACATTACTATGAATATTTAAGTAAACAAACACAGTCTTCCGATTGGTTGTTTCTCACGTAAAGTTAATCTTTCATCTCTTTGTGACTGTTTCTTGAATGTCAAATCCTCTATGTGTTAACTGCATCCGCCTACGCAAAGTCTGCTGTGGTCGGTTTTGAATCAATCTTTGTTCACATTTTCTCACTACAAATCTTGGGAACGTAAATATTGACGTAAATTACTGTCTATCAATTTGGCTAGTAGACAGCTCTCACCACACATGGAATGGACAATACCTACATTTTAATCATTTTTGTCCAATTAGCGTTAAACATGGACTAGTCAAGACTCTATACTATAGAACTAGGAGATTGTGCTCTATAGAGAAATTAGAAGAAGAATTTATGTTTGTCGAAAAGATGTTGAAAAGGACGATTCCTCCAAAGGTTCACTAACAAGTCCGGAATATCTGAAGGCCCAAATGTCATCTACATTCAACTTAATTCTAAAGGTGAAAATATTGCGGCAATTGTCAACAGAAGATGGAGGACGTCACTAGCCAGAGCCTATCCTGCAGCTAGCTAAGCTCCTTCCCGTCTGTCGAACAACTTGCTCTCCTTTGGTGCAATCAAAAATCGATAGATATCCTTTTTGTGTTAACTCCAACTGTATATACAAATATACATGTATCTGCGGGATCAGTTACATTGGAAGGATAGAAAGAAGGGCACATCTACGATTTTCTGAAAATGTATCAAAACGTCTATGTCTAAAGGGGACAAATGCTCCAAACAGTGCCATCGCCAGGCATCTCCTCGACACGGGTCACAAGACCGTTCAAAATTACTAATAGGTAAAAGAGTTCAATTCTCCTCAAGTTTGCTGAAGCAATCGCCGTCAGTCTCCTGAAACCCGATTCATGCGTTCAGAAAGAAGCGGTTATCAGTCTTTCTTTGCCTATCCTGGTAACTGGATATCTCCACCCTCTCTTTCATCTGATCACGTAGTGCCAAAAGTTTCCACTTTGTATGATCATTGTTGTTCGGGATAAAGTGTTTATTATTATATATATTATTACTGTATGCATTTATTTATTGATTGATTTTTATTTAAAAATGAACTCGTTGTGCAAGTATGTTAAAATTGTTTGTGTAAATATACTTAATAATTACTTTGGCCTGTGAGCAGATGATGAGAAGCCAAGGAAATAAGCAATGATGGTACCATTTTATTCTGCAAAATCTCTCTTTCTTGTTTTATTCAAATAATAATAGCATACAACGATAATACTGTAATTTGAAAAAGATAAAATCAATTGACCGACTAAATACAGATTCTCATATAAGAATCATTTCAAGTTATCACACTTGGAAGAAGGAATGTACATAAAAATATAGTGAAGCTTTGAACGAGAAACTCACAGATAGATAGAAGACTGATGCGAATTTTCAGAATCTTGGTGAATATCAACAACCATGATTCTGAGGTTACACAATAAGATTTCATCAGGAATCGGTACTGAAAACCAAAGAGTACTGGACAACTGTTTCATCCCGGTTGGAGACTCCTCAACAACACTCACCAATTACCTTACTGGAGATCGAATCTAGGTCTTACAAGGCTGAAAAGCGAGTCAGTTGACAGTTTACCCAAGAGAAATTTAGATTTTGGGTTCAGTGGACATTTAGCCAATCAGCAGTTCAAAATAGTTTAATCAATAGCATCGATCTGTTTGTCTGTTTAAGTCTTAAATAGCAGTTAAACTGTTGAAACTTTATATAGTTTCCATTGAACATATTCGATTTTTGTTTATGTATTTGTTTTAAATTCCAAGTTACATTTTCATCTTTTTTTCGTTTTTCATCACAAAAGGATGATCCCGATGGATTACGTTATAGAATCGTCCGTCGTAAAGCATTTGAAGATATTTTGGACGGGGAATTTGATAATACAACATTTGAAGGATTATTTTATATCGGTGGGTAATTATTCTTTTGAATACAAATCGATATCAGTTAGGGGATTATGGAAAACTAGTGTTAGGGGAATGACTGACTGGCTGGTTTCAACATAGAACTTCGCACCGATGTGCAGCAGTTCGAGTTGCCACACTCCCTCCATGTAGCACACAAAGCAAGAGAAGAAAGTAGAAGAAATGCTAGAGACAGTAGAGATAGGGATATGAGACAAAAAGAATAGTGACATCGAAGAACAATATAGTTTCATTGGAAATTATGAGTCACTGAGAACGATTTTTAGGCATATCATAAATTGTCTCTAGCCTTCATTGGTGTTTACCGTCCCGTGGACCCCAACCAGTCAGGAAGCCTACACCTTCCTACGTGGCTAGCTTAAACTAACTGTTGTGGATTTGATTGACTGATGAGGGCATTTTTTGGTTTGACCCCCCACCACTAGCTATCTCTTTTCCAACCTGACCCTATGTCAGCTAACATTGACCATCACTCGAGGAAGGCTATGGCTGGGCATGAGTAACGCATTTCCTAACCATTTCAATCGATGTAACTTCACAGCCTCGTCTTTTGATTTCCAGTGGTGGGAGGAACAACCACTGGCGTCTATTACAAATGCCTACCATCCTCATTTTTGTTTAATTTCATCATAGATGCACCAGTGAAAATGATCCCGAATTGACTTAGTGTTTGAGTTTTTACTGGAGAACAGTTTCATCGACTTGGAGTGTGTGGATAGTATTGTCCTCCTTGGTGAAGACGCTGAGTAGAAATCTCCGAATGTTTCCCATGCGATTCGCTCCTATCAAGTGTAGGATCATGTTGAAGGATTGGACTACACTGACTTTCCTAGTTTGAAGATAGAGAGTGAGGTGGTAGAGCATGTTGACTGTTTCACTTATTTGAGAAGTTTCATCAGCCCGAATGAATTGGTTGCTGATGGAATCTCACCCCCAGATAAAAAAGGCTGGTGTGGCATTTGCCAACTTACGACGTCATGTCTGGCGTATGGGCCTATTTCGCACTCGGAACCCAATGGGAATAGTAATAATAATAATAATCATGAAATTCATGTGCGAAGAGGAATCCCAAAACAGAATTGCCTTCCTAGGTGTCCTCCTTACAAGAAAACCAGATTGTGGTATAAAGATAAATTTGCATAGGGAAAGTACATGTACAGGACAGTATATACATTTTCACAGCTTCATTCCTCTTCAGTACAAAAGAAATTTAGTAGAGACGCTCAGCCACAGGGTTACAGCGATATGCTCAGAAGAAGTAATTTAAGATTAATTAAGCATTGTATATGATACCTTCATTGAAAAAGCTAGTTATCCTGACAAATTTATCAAGAAACACATGACAAAGAAGGCGGAGAAGGACTACTCACTATCCGTAAACAAGAAGCCACTTTATATACATACGAGTGCAATTCAAGGGAGATATACCAAGCGAAATAATTACGAAGAGGTTAAGAAAATGAGTTCAAAGAACTTTTAATTCTAGCAAACTCCAAGCTTTATTTTCTTTACGACCGATGGTGATTCCTCGATTGAAAGATGAAGTTCATACAACTGGTTCCCTTGATAAATTTCGATAAAGAAAGGAAGACGAAATTTGCAGTATAAAATGATATCATTCTATCTCACAGGTTCTCATCAGCTGCAGACTACCTGAAATTACAATGGTTATATAAATGATAATAACATACTTCTCTACTACTACTCAAACATTAAAGTATGTTATTATCATTTATATAACCATTGTAATTTCAGGTAGTCTGCAGCTGATGAGAACCTGTGAGATAGAATGATATCATTTTATACTGCAAATTTCGTCTTCCTTTCTTTATCGAAAGATGAAGTACCTAGACTAGACTAGCCACCTCCAATTGTATCTACCAGTTCAACTGCGCTTGTGGGGCGAGTTATATCGGTCGTCGTTCTAAGAACTTGATTAACCATCATGTAATTATTAGCTTTTGTGGTTGTTTTTTCTTATTTTTTATTTTTTTCGGCAATACCAACTGACGATCATTGGTTGTGAACTTCATTATCACCACCTTAAAATTTTGCATTATGCAGGATTACTCACACTACTACTACAAACACTGCATTAGACCTGACAATAAGAAACAAAACAACAACCCTGAAATGTTATTTTATGATTGTTTAGTGTTGTTTCAACCAAATTAACTGATCATCTTGGCGATAAACATTCTTAAATATCATTTCATAACTTCTTGTATGACTATAGCTTTACTGTCACAATGCATAATCATATCATAGCTTCCACTACCCAATACTAAGATATTATTTATTATGTTGTTTATTTTCCTTTCTAATTCTTGGTACTTTTTCGCATTTTTTAAAAATTATTTTGTGTTTTTCCTGTTTTTTGCTGTTGGTGTCTTTATATTTATTTTTTTAAATACTCCTTTTAAAGGTTTGATAAAATTAGATGCAAATATTGTAGATATGTGCTGAAAATTCCACACTGTACCACTAGTACTGTTTCTGGAATAAAGCAAATTATAATTATTATTTTTCATGCTCGAGAACATCTCCCAGTATGACTAAGTAAAGATGTAGTTAGAAGCATCAACAGCTCGATATTAGACCATCTGATCCAAACCGACCGGCCACAAAGCCAGCCAGCACTGAAGAATCCTTCTCCATCATCATCTACCGGGTACCAAATAAATTGCCAAAAACATCGAGGTACCGCATGCTCCAAACAGCAGAGGATATCGCGATTTGCGTGAAACAACCAGTGTTTTGTCTGCAAAAGAAGCAAGTCCAACCAGCTACTACTACTGCCCTGGGTGGCCCTCAGTAAAGACTATAAATTTATGAATTTGTATTATTATCTTTCGTAATTTTTCTGATATTCAGTGTGTATTGTTATGTTGATGCTACCTAACTGTAATCTATTGATATTATTATTGATTCAATGTTATTTAAAGCACGCTAATGTTACTAATAACACTAATTGATTCACTGTTATGTATAGGTATATAACTGTAGAGCCTGATGAAGAGCAGGTTATCGAAAATATGAATATTCTTTGTTCATTAACCGTGTGATAATAATTAGGTGTGCTTAATTTTGCATTACTTTAAAAATTATTCAATGTTTTATTCTATTTTCAATCTTTTGTCGTGTTTTGTTTTAATAGATGATGGAAATTCATTTGGTGATGTCCTGTACTATGGCAATGAATGGCTCCTGTTTACATTCGATGCAATTCTATTCTGTCTAGTTGATTTACTAAGTCAAAATTTAATATTATCTGCATTTTTTGTTATACTCGTTAGCAATGTAAGTTTTTATATGATTCAATTGGGGGTGTTTTTTTACCAGTTCACCTAAATATAGCTAGCTAGTCAGAATTCAGAGGGCAGGAAGGGTGGTTTTTGAACTGATTTAGCTAATATGAGCTGAGCCAAAAATATATTGATTACTCGCCACTGATGAGCTTAGCCCTGAACAAATGAAACGGCAAGCTATCCGATGTTTAGACCACTTCGATTTGACTGGCTATCAAACACTACTGGTTGTTGATATGAGCGGTAACCAACTACTCATATCGATCAAGCAGTAGTATATGGCGCCATGCATTAACGGACAAATTTGCTTAAAAGCCACCTAGATAAAATTTAAAACTTCCAGCTAAATTACGATTCTTATAAATGACTTCATCATGAGCTGATGTCGGTTAGAGAACCGTTGGAAAACAGCCAGGGAGCACTGGAAAACTGATTCGTCAGCCCAGTCTGGCACTCATCAACAGTAGGCACCCACTGGGGTCCAAAACCTACGACCTTTCGATTACAAGGGGAGCTCGTGGACCACTAAGCCACTGAGACCTGATCCAACGGCCAGTCCATGAATTCTAACTTTTACCAATTCATGACATAGTGCAACCACTATTGAAAACCAAGTGGGAAGTACTGGACACAGTTGTTTTAGCCTAGTATCAGACTCATTGGTAGAACGCATCCACAAGGGTGCTTGGTTAGTGGGATTCACTCAGTTCAGAATGAGAACGGACACTCGCCGATGACATTGTTTGGTTGAATGACTTACGAGCTCGCCTTGTAACTGGAAGGTCCTGCGTTCGAACCCCGACGGTGGGTGAGTACCGTTGAAGTGGAGTCCCAAACTAGACTGACAAAACAGCTGTCCAGTACTTCTTACAGGTTTTCCAATGGTTCTCTAACGGATGTCAGCTCATGGCTGAAATCCTGTCACCAGTGAAATCCCTGTAAACCAAAAATTGAATCTTATAAATGATTCATTTAGATATCGAAATTATTGATATCTGATTGATTTTATGTTTTTGCGAGTTGATCACGGATCGATATCAGTTAGAGAACCATTGAAAACACTCCAGGGAGTACTGGACAGCTGTTTCACCCCACTTTTTGGGAATCATCAGCAGTACGCACCCACACCATGGGATTCGAACCCAGGACCTCCCGGTTACAAGGCAAGCGAGCTCGTATACCATTCAGCCACTGGGACCCGATTTATATGGCTCATGAATTCTAACTTCTACCAATTCGTGATTTAGTGCCACCCCAGCCATTGTCGTTGGTGGGACATCCATCCTCACACGTGACATCTGGATGGACCTCACTGGTAACGACTTCTCACTAAAACTCCATCCTGTAGCAAGTCACTAGCGAGCATCAGATTAATTTTCTATAGTTTGGTTTGTAAGTTAGAATTCATGAGCCATTGAATCGGTCCCAGTGGCTGAATGGTATACGAGCTAGCTTGCCTTGTAACCGGAAGGTCCTGGGTTCGAATACCAGTAAGTGCGTACTGCCGATGGTTCCCAAAAATAGGATGAAACAGCTGTCCAGTACTCCCTGTGGCTGGTTTTCAATGGTTCTCTAACTGATATCAGTCCGTGATCAACTCGCAAAAACATAACTAATTCTTACAAACCAAACTATAGAAGATTGATTTTATGTCAAAACTGACATCAGTTACGTAATCAGTTGGAGGTAGAGAACATCTGACAGCTGTTTTGTCTTAGTATGCTACCCACAGTTGCACTATCGATCAAAATCTGAAAGCTTCACGTCATGTGGCAAACTTGCAGGCTAAAATACCAAGTTTATATGGGACGTGTATGAATCTATGCTCAAAATCATCACTCCCCTCCCAAAACATAGTGGTTCCTTCACACACCCCGTTAACTCTATAATGGCCATAGAGATCAAATGCCTACAACCTTCACAGATCAGACTGAACGATTTGAATACTTCATATCAAGGTCACCTTGATATGATTATGAGTGGCAATAAATTGTACTCAAAACTTAGTCATCAGTAAATATTACTGTATAACACACTGTGTGACTTTATCAAAATAAATTTTACCCATAATGGAGTCAGCTGGAAAGGCCTAGCAACAAGAAACTCCGGGAACGAACCAATCAAGTAAATGCAGGTAGACCGGACACACAATGAGGAGACCATTAAGTGACATCGCGGACTAGGACCTCTAGTGCAACCCAAAAGGGAAATGGTGAGGTGGATATCCCTTAACGGTGACATAGAGATCGTGTGAGGAGAGGATGAAAGCTTATGGGGTGTCATTGCGTCAGCTAAACAGGGCTGCAGAGGACAGGAAGAAGTAGAGATGTGCTGTTAAAGTCTTATGTTCCATTTGGAAGCCAGGGGAATAATAATAACAATCCAAGGGTACCCCAAAGCTTGGAATGGCAGTCACCTATCTATCTCAACTTCATCGAATTTGAAAAGACCTTCGATAGTGCAGCGTCGATCGAGAGGTGACTTCGGTAACTACTTCGCTACTACGGGGTGCCACAGACAATTATACATCTCATCCAACAGCTGTATGACACTGCTGCATGCCAAGTAATCCACAACAGGAAACTTACTGAATCCTTCGAAGTGAAGACGGGAGTAAGACAAGCTGGCTGCCTACTATCGCCAATGATTTTCCTGATTGCAATAGATTGGATAATGCGACAAACAGCGGGCAATCAGGAAACAGGCATAAAATGGACTCACACAAAAAACTTGGAGGATCTGGACTTCGCCGATGATATATGTCTGATTTCCCACAAACAGGAAGATACGCAAGTGAAAAGCAACAGGTTGGCAGAAGAAGCATCCAGAGAAGATAGCACTTCAGGTGAACATAGAGAAAACAGAGGTGATGAAGATTCCTGGGGAACACCACCAACAGTAACAACAACAACAGAGAACAATCAGCATAAATGGGAGGAACCTGAAAGAAGCAACCTCTTTTACCTACACTACCTGGGAAGCATCGTTTCAGCTACAGGCGGAACTGACGAGGATATCAAAGCAAGAATCGGAAAAGCAAGACAAGCTTTCACTACTCTCAAGTCTGTGTGGAGGTCAGCAGCACTCACCATCAAAAATAAGATCCGGATTTTCAACTCCAATGTGAAGTCAGTCAGTACTACTCACTATATGGATCACAGACTTGGCCAGCGCGTCATAAAGAGCATCTCAAACAAACTATAGACCTTCATTAACAGTTGTCTTCGCTCAATACTCAAGATCAGACGGTTGGCCAGAAGAGATCAGCAACAGAGACCTCTGGGAGAGAACCAACCCAGCAGGAACAAATTGTGCAACAAATAAGCAGGAAGAAATGGAAATGGATCGGCCATACTCTGAGGAAACCATCAAGTGACATCACTAGACAAGCCCTCGAGTGGAACGCGAAAGGGAAGCGGCGAGTGGGACGTCCAAGGGTGGCATGGAGGAGATCGTGTGAAGAGGAGTTGACACAGTATGGACTAATATGGATGCAGGTGAAAAGTACAGCAGAATGCAGAAGCAAGTGGAGACGTGCAGTTGAAGCCCTATGTTCCACTAGGAACCCAAGGGAACAATGATAATAATAAAATTCTTTTGAAAAATTATCTTCAGTATTGCTATAAAAAAAGTTCATTTTGTTTTTGTACTATTATCTAAATTTTAGATATTTAAATTATTACGAAATGATCTTGGACGTCGTAATACTGCAAGAAAAACGTTGATTGATGAACGTTTCTTAATTTGAAATATATACACAAATATTTGTACTTTGATTTTAACATATCAACTCGGTGTAAATTGAACATGTAATGAAAGTTTCTTATTATGAAATAAAATAGGTAGTTTTTATAAAGCAAATCTGAAATGAATAAATTTTTAATGTAATCTAAGCCGATAAATGTCATAATGGTACCCTTTTTTTAAGCTGGTGTTGACCAATATTGAACTATGAAAAGTCTGACTGACTGGTTTCAAAATAGAACTTTGCACTGATGTGCAGCACTTCAAGTCGCCACTCTCCATGTAGCACACAAAGACTGAGAAGAAAGTAAAAGGAGACGCAAAATAGAGACAGTAAACAGAGATATGAGGAAAAAAGAATAGTAATATCGAAGAACAGTATAGTTTTACTGGAAATTATGAGTCACAAGGAGTGGATGCATCTGCGTCACTGAGAACGATTTTGAGGCATATCACCGATTGTCTCCAGCCATTGGTTTTTGCCGTTCCGAGGACCCCAACCAGTCGGGAAGTCTACACGTACCTACGTGACTAGCTTAAACTAATTATTGTGGATTTCATTGACTGATGAAGCCACGTTTCGGTTTGACCACCACTGACTCTTTTCCATTTCACACGGGAGCAAGAACGCAGGCACCTATGATCAAAGGCAGCTGGCTAGGCGTTTCATTTCTTCCACTCTCAATAGCCAGGTCTCACAGCCATAAAGGAGGACGGAGCCGACTGTTGGGCAGTTCACACGTCCTTTGGTCGATAGCCAGCCGGATATCATGTCTACGCCAGAGATAGCGTAAACTGGCATATGCGAAATGAGCCTTCTGTATCCGTGTTGAGATTTCGTCAGCGATCAACCCGTTATGGCTGGCTGATGCAAACCCCACCCAAATAAGTGAAGTGGTCAAGGTGCTCAACCACTTCACTCCCTATTTCTAAGCTAGAAGTCAGTGTAGTCCAGTCCTGTAGCATCATCTTATATTTGGCGGGAGCGAGTCGCGTGCGAAATATTCGTAGATTGCAACTCAACGTGTTCAGAAGACTCTGCATTTGTCAGCGTCCTCACCTAGGTGGGAGGACTATATCATTTGCACATTCTAGGTCAACAAGATTATTCCCTGGTAATAAGTCAATCCCTGACTCTGAAGTCACTTAGGACTAAGTCCATTAGTACGTCTATGATGAAATTGAATAGAAATGGGGGTAGTGGGCATCCCTGACGGACACCACTAGTTGTCACCATTTCAGATGACAACTCTCCATAAGCCCTCACCTGGCTGCATGAGTACGAGTAGAGTGCCTCAATCAGTGCAATGTATTTTCTCGGCATTCCCTTTACAGCCAGACATCGCTACAGTACTTCTCGGTCAACAGAATCGAACGCCGCCTTTAGGTCAAGAAATATAACGATTGTTGGACACCGGAAAGTATGCCTGTGTTCCAAAGTCTGTCGAAGGGTGAAGATATGATCAGTACACCCTCTTCCTGGTCTAAAGCCTGCCTGGTTTTCTTGTGTTTGTGCCTCCCGAGCACCACTTAGTCTACGCTATATTATTGAGCCTAGGACTTTAGATACTATACTAGTCAAGCTAATCCCTCTGTGATTATCACAGGAAGACTTGTCTCCCTTTTTATATATGGGGATAACCAGTGGCTTACACCAACCCGACGGGACTTCCTCTGATTCCCAGACGCTTCCTAGTACCTTAGTTAACGTACTTAAATACCTCTGGAGCCATTCCATCGGGTCCTGCTGCTTTTCCTCCTTTCAGACTAATGACAGCCTCAGTAACCTCAGTTAGGTACGGAGCACCTGTGTCTATATCGCATTCAGGGAGGTGTTGGATGCTGGGTAAGTTCAGCGTGGCTGTAGACCAATTAAAGTGCTCTTTCCAACGTCCTAGTCGTCTATCCAGAGAGCTAATTATGGTGCCATTTTTCTCAGAGATTGTTTCACTTATCATTTACCTTTTGCCACCTGTTTCTCTGATAAGCCTAAATAGTTGTCTGGTGTTACCAATCGCCAATACCTTTTCTATCTCCTTTGCTTTTGTCGCCCACCACTGTTCACGGTTAGGTGACTATGAAAAGTAGGTTGAATTCAATAAACACCAACTCTACTTCAACTTATTGAAAACATATTCCTGAGAATTAATATAATCCTTGCTAATGAGTGAATACACGAAGAAGTTGCATGAACTTCTAGTGAGAAGTCGTGAATAGGGAGATCTGCCAAGTCAAATGTTAGAACAAACACTCGCTAGTGACGTCCAATGGTTGATGATCACCCTAAAATAGCAAATTCACGGAAGTTAGAATTCATCGACCGTTGGATTCCAGCCAAAGTGACTGAATAATCAAAGAGCTTGACCACGTAACCTTGATCTCCTGGGTTCCATTCCCGGCGGGGTCATGCATGCGTACACTGGTGAACAGTCTCAGACTAGAACGAAACGGTTATCCAGTCTTCAAAGGTTCTCGAAAATGACAACCACCCATGATTAGACTTGCGATCAACCATAGTCATTCGTTTTCGACTTAATTAATTCCGATATCTAGATCCCAATCAAGAACCGATATGAATGGTGGTTCTCCTCGGTGATCTGCATGAGTAAAACGGAGAAAATCTAATTTTCTAAGACAACGAACCATCCGGGATAAAACAAGGAGTCTACAGTTACCAGACCTAACTCAACAAAATCTTATTCAGAAGCTAATTGGTGGATGGTGACTAGCAGTAGAATCCAGGATAACGCGTATTTCGTCCTATTTGGGACTAATCGTCAGCTAGATGTACATGCATTCCCCAGTGAGTGATGATGTTCCCACCGAGGCTCAAACCCAGTGCCCATAGTTTCAAACGCCAAAGCGTTATCCAGTAGACCACATCCAGATGACGAGTCCCAAACAGGACGAAATGCGCATCCTGGATTCCACTGCTAGTCACCAGCCACCAATTAACTTCTAATTACACGCCCAGACATCGTCGAAGCATCTGTATAACAAGTCGACATGTCTGCCTGAGACCGAGCACTTCTGTCCAATCAATCGACGGGGAAATCTAAAATTCAATTAAAAATCTTATTCAGATTAAACTCAGTCACTGAAAACTATTCAGTCTATCAGATAAGATACTTACGGCACAGTAACTCCTAATTAGTTGTCAACTCAGGCACAAAGCTTTGTCATGAAATCTTTAATCGTCTTTCTAGTAACCAAAAACTATAAGATTGACTGAATGAATGACTTAGATGAAGATGTGTGATGATCAGGAGAGCTTTGTGTGCGTCTTTGGAAGTGTGTGGGCGGTTACTACTTCCCAGCTGTTCCTACTGTGGAAGTCGACTCTTTTCTTGCGTAACCGCAGAGTCTACGGGACAACTCCTTGAGGCCGGTTGCACACACACCGCTCATTTGAATTGGTTTTTGGAGTTGCATCCATATTAAGATCTTACCGCCGCAAGATAAGTCAGGTGTAACAACAGAAGACAAGGGCCAGGCAACAGATCAGTTTTATTACAAAAACCAACAGGTATTTATATGTATTTTACGTACATTAATAAGGCTCTGCCCGCAGAAAGAAGGCGGTCTTCTGATTGGTTGTTTGCAAACAAAGGCAGTCTTCTTCTGCTTTCTCGTTTTCGATATTTCTCGGAAATGCGAGCCACTTGTCTGCGAATCATATTTGTCCACCTCTAGGTCAGCTGTGATCGGTTGTTAAATCAGCCTGGATTAATTTCCACCAATCAGCGTAGATCAATGTCTACAAATTGGCTAGCAGCTTGCTCTCACCACACAGGGAGTAAAATTTTCGGGGTCGACTTTTCTGAACCTCACCACCTCTCCAGAGCAGAGAGGTAGTATAGCCGGCATGCTAGTCATCTGAGAGAAACAACCTCTTATTGCGGTTACATCCATACTTCCTAGTCTTACGATTGCCGCCACAAGTCTCCAGCATGGTAGATACCAATTACACTATTATGGTAACTGCTTCCAGTCTAATCACTATCTCAGCGAGCTTTCTGGAATGGCAAGACCTGTGGGGACATTAGTTCCAGGCAGTGTAGTTCGTTGGACCATTGGGGTATGCAAGCCTGACCACCAACCACATCAGGGTGGCAGCTATCGGTCGGGATAGACAAATGATTGTACGTTGTGTCCCCCAGAAAGATAAGTAAAGCTTCACAATTCACAACTATCCGTCTCATGGACCATAAGAAATTATAACAACAATACCGTCGTCCCCCAAGACCAACCACACCTGAAAATCTGTCCGCATTTCTATCTGTGACCAGTCCAACGGGACTATCTCTGATTCCCAGACGTTGCCTAATACCTTAGTTAACCCGTCGTCCTTAAACACATCTGGAGTCATTCCATCAGGTCGCGCAGCTTTGCTTCGTTTCAGATTAGTAACAGCTCGCTGAACCTCAATTAGGGGCGGACGATCGGTGTTTATATCCAATTCAGAGAGGTGTTAGATCCTCAGTAAGTTGAACGTGGCTGTAGGTCAGTTATATTCCTCCTCGAAATATCCCTTCCGACGTTCTATTCGTCTATCCTGAGCGCTAATTAGGGTGTCATTTTTCTCAGACATTGTCTCACTTATCATTAACCTTTTGCCACCTAATTCCCCGATAAGTCTAAATAGTTTTCTGGTGTTACGGATAGCTGATGCCTTTTCCATTTCTTTCACTTTTATCACCCGCCGTTGTTCACGGTTGTTGCAAAGACCTTTTGTCAGTGTGAGTTTGACCAGCTTTCGCTCCTCATCATATTCGGCGCTCGCTGGAATCAGTCTTCTTGCCCTAATCAGTTCTGATGGCCTTCACTAACTTTTGGTTTTTGGGTTAATTAAGAGCCTTTACATCTGTATACCAACCTAGTGTCTGATCAAAGTATACAGTCCCACAAAAAGTTAATCACCAGCCCAAATATAGCTCAGTAGTGGTGACCTCTCCTAACTCAGGACGAGTTAACCTAAGTTCGAATCTCCTAAGCAAGCAAGATTGAAGGTACACACGCCTTGAGGACTGGTAGTGAGTGCCAACGTGCACAAAACCTAGGTCATCATCACAGAGGGAGCTTCCTGTAGATCCCACCACCTCCAACCGTCTAACAACAAGTTCACCTTTATTTCACTGACAAATACTTTGTCCTGAGTACTTTACACCTTGACACTAACAAAACCAAAAAAACACATGAACAACACAAGTGAATGTGTGGTGACAACAGTACTCAGTTAAAGTGTATTAATAAAGCACTGCAACATCTCAATCAAGACAGACAATACAACACAACACAACGCATACAACGATAATGCAGGCTTTTTAGAGAAAGGAAAGAAATTTCTTCATACAGTGGTGAACAGGCAGAAACGTTTCGATTTTTATGAAAAATTTCATTTGGAATGCTTTTCTTTAAGAAAAAATCAATAATATACGAAGAAAAAGAAAGAAAGAACACACAGTAGTATGGCTACCACACATCGTAGCACAATTCACATTGATAATCGAACATTATTATTATTATTATTATTATTATTATTATGCATTAGGTATGTTTATATATATTCAACAGAAAATAAATATATAATATTATAATAATTTCCATTAAATATGAATAAGTGTGGGAGAGAACACTTTGAAGTGAGATAATTTTAGTAAATTATAATACCCTCCCCCCCCCCCGCACGCCACCGCGAGGAAGTAATAGTGAAATCACTGCTGGGTAGTAGTATGAGTATGAGTATGCAACTAACTTACTACTACTCACCTCAACTAATCAGTAGTATATAATTTTCTGTGAAATTATTGATTGATTATCAGAGATCAATCATGATCAATCGTGATCAAAAAATATGTCAAATAAATGAGGAAGAGTAGAAAAAGGATTAAATTAAACAGAGTAATGAATGAGAAATATCAACTGAAAATTGTTTTTTCTCTATGCTTGATTACTTTAATGCAGATTAAATTAACTGTGTGAGGAGCGGTGTGGCGTGATTACACAGCGGAGGTTGTAGTGTAGACAGAAAACTACATTCAAACTCCTCCAATGTTTATTCAACAACACATATATATGTATATATATATATATATTAACCTTTGTCGGAAATCTTCTTCCCAGAAATCTGAAAGAAAAATTAAACAAATTTTATAGGCGTAAATAAACATCTAACATCTGACATGTATTGGCGTCAATTTCAAACACAATGATAAAATGATGAGATAGTGGAAAATTCCATCACGGACTGACTCAAAACAACAAACACGTGTTTGTTTGTGTTTGCTAGAAGGGATAGGCTTTTTTCTTTGTTAGCCGTGATATCACCATTTATGCATATCCTGACATGATGATAACCATGATTGGAGAGTTTTCGACTGGTTTGCTTATGGCTTAATTTCTGAGGTTAAACAGACAACCAATCAGATTTGTTTTACCTGTAGTTTCAACTTCTCGGGTTTTATCAACATACCATAAATTTTCAAATTGGACTACGGATTGATTGATCAGTTAGAGAACCACTGAAAACCACTAGGTAGTACTGGACACCTGCGTCGTCCTAGTTTGGGATTCCGCTTTAGCTGTACGCACCCACCCCCGTGGTTAGAACCCAGGATCTTTCGGTTACGAGACACGCTCGTGGACCATTAAGCCACTGGGACCCGTCTCAATAGCGCATGAAGAGCCCCGAACTAGGACGAAACACCTGTCCAGTACTCCCAGGTTTTCTAATGGTCCCCTCTAACTGATGTCAGTTTACGATGAAGTCGTGAAATTCCATATCAGCTTCGATCATCATCACGCATCCTTCAGCATCACTGACAAGTGTCTTAATGTATTTTATGACACAACCTTACATGATTTAAATTATCACGTCCACCTAAGAATCAGCCAAGAAAGGAAGGTAAACTGTTGGTATTAGATGGTTGGAGGCAATCGGCAGGAAGCCTTGGACCTAGGTTTCGTGCTAGTAGTTGGCACTCATCAGCAAGGCGTATCTGCAACCTTGAAGGAACTGATGTCACAGTGCACCGTAATGGCGAGCCACCTAGCATGGTGGCCACATTGCAAACATGACTGATAGAATTCAGTCTGCACCGAAGATAGGACTAGACGCATTACACTAGTTACTGACTAGTGCGCAATCAAAAAGAAAGGTAAACTAAATGATATTAGATGGTTGGGGGCAATCGGTAGGATGCCTTGAACCTACGTCTCGTGCTAGTTGGCACTCGTCAGCAAGGAGTATCTGCAACCTTGAAGGAACTCATGTCCCTTCTGAGATTAGAACCCGCGTCACCCTCTGCTGCAGTCAGAGACGTTACCACTGAGCTGACTGATAGAATTCAGTCTGCACCAAAGAAAGGACTAGACACGTCACACTAGTTACTAGTGTCCAATCAAAAGATAAACTAGGTTATAACTAGACTGCAATTAATTTCAGTAACAATACAATATGTTGGAGAGGGGGGTGATATGACTGTGATGTAATAATGTGGTCTATACGACAGAAATAAAAGGTTCCACTTAGTTGACCAATATAGCCCCAACTGTGTTGACTTCCTTATCTAAGGGAAAAAGTGGAGTGGTAATGTCTCTGATTACCGCACTGAATGACACGGGTTCGAGTCCCAGAAGAGACATAAGTTCCTTCGAGACGGCAGATTGGAGGCAATTTGCCTCCAACCATCTAACACAAACAATTCAAAGTGCAGTGCACCGTGATGGCTAACCCCCTAGCAAACATGACTGATAGAATTCAGTTTGCATCAAGCAAAGGACTAGACACATATTACACTAGTTACTACTTAGTGTCCAATCCAAATAACCTCGTCTATAAGCCATACCTTATCTGACGGCTTTCGATTATCAACAGTAAGGTTCTTTAAAGTACGAATTCAACTCTAACAACCTACACAAAAGACTATTTAATAAAACTTTATATAATATTGGATTGAATCACAAGAAGAACAACGGGATGTTTAAATTTTATAAAGACAAAGAAAGGAAGGAATGAAACTGTTTACATGAAATCAATAAGTAGGTCTATATGCGCCTTTACACAACTCCATTGAGCAGCTAACAACTACAAAGGTTCATTGGGTTGATGGTATGGTTAGCCTGAGAATTCCTCAGTTTATCCATACGCTTGTCAACACCACACTACCCGCATAAATGACCCGGTACGGTTGAGGGTGAGTAGACTTTGATCACCCTTTCAAAAAGCTCTCATGTGTCCACGTCACACCTTCATAACCACTGCCAGGTAAGTGATATCCCCTGACTTCGCATGGCGGCGGGGATATTCCTCACAAAAGTGAAAGGGCGAACACGAACGTGTGGTGCTTGAGACCGGACTGGTAGACATCATGGTCTACTAGTGGTGTGTACATGGACTCCAGAGTCCGAAAGGATCGAATGGAGTATGTGGATGTGGTTTGGTCACTGGAAACCATAGGCACGTAGCTCCTGATGCTGCTCTACTGCTTTGGAGATTAGACTTCAAGTCGAAGGGTCGGGATAGGAGTGGCCTCCTAGGAAGACCGCCTCGGGCAGTATCCCAGCCCTTGCCGAAACTACTAGATTCTGTATGGCCCATAATGTACCAAGCTTGTTTTAATAACAATAGTAATAATAATAATAATAATAGGTGGTGATGCTACAGGAGGACTACATGTCCTAAACACCCAAAACCATATTACACTTTAAACCCATCAGATAACCTAACTAACATCATAGATAGTTACAGGATGAAACATAAAACATAGTGCGTTCATCTCTAGTTATAAAAACATTACTCACCTGAAGAATAGCCACAATGATACCGAATAATCCAATAGCACTACCGAATATCTCCACGACGAGTATTTTAACGAATAAGGCAGAATTTGCCGCGTCTGCCAAAGCTGCACCTGAACCAACCATCCCAACACAGACACCGCATATCAGATTACAGAAACCAACAGTCAGACCAGCTGCAAACATTGAATAACCAGCCCGATGTGCTTGACGAATTATGCCCTCGCTAGCTCCAACTGGATTGTATGACTATTTGCAGATACAAAGATAAGAAAAGTGATATATAAATATATATATATATATTAAGCGTTTATGATTATTACAAATTTGTTCACTCACTATATGAAGTAGGCATTGTCAAGCTGCTTCGGTAATTTATGAAGTCACATCGATCGAGAAGGTTAGGACATGTGTTACGCATGTCTAGCCACCAGTCACCCACGATGGACGGGCAATGTTAGCTGACTGACATAAGATGGATCAGGCTGGAAAACAACTAGCAAGTGGTGGTTGCAAAACCGAAACATGGCTTCATCAGTCAGTCAAATTCATAACAGTTAGTTTAAGCCAGGCAACCAGCCAGTCACGTATGAAGGTGTAGACTTCCTAACTGACTGGTTGGGGTCCTCGGGATGGTGGGAACCACTGGAGGCTCGAGACAATTGGTGACACAGCTTGAAATCGTTGTCAATGGCTGGCGCAGATGCACTCAGTCTTTGTGATTTGCCAGTTATATCCAATTAAAGTACTCTATTGTTCTTCCATATACTATTGTTTTTCCATCACCAAAAAGAAACTCTCCACTGAACTACTGGTCTTCCCTCTGTTAATGTTCAAATGGTGATTTTTCATGAATTAAAAAGTAGCATGGACCCCTCGACAGTCAAGGAACTCAATGGGTTTTTACGATACTCTGTCAAACTTGAGGTAGCGAATGCGAAAATACCTTTTTTAAAAGATTATCTCTGTAATCGCGAATATCCGAAATGGTATTGGAAAGCATTGAAAAGAAATCATATGTATATATCCAAACACAAAGTCTCTCCGACGTCATGCACTGAATCCTGCGACTCTATCAAAGTAGGTATTCCAGAACTGAAACACGCAACATTTCACAAAGGTCTACGGCCTTCCACGATTTTCTGCCTAGTGAAATTCAGAAGTTTACAGAATACGTCAATAAGAAGAAATTCGCCGAAAAGAGACTCTTCGCTGAACTACTGCTCTTCTCTCTATTATCTTTCTCTCTTTCGAATCTCCGTTTACTGTTTTCTCATGCTTTGTGCGTTACATGGAGAGTGGCAGCTTGAACCACTGCATATCTATGCAAAGTTCTATGTTGGAACCAGTCAGTCACTCAGTCATATCTGCCGAGGTAATCCGATAACTGTACTTTTATCCACTTGACCATGTACCACGCCTACTGTCTAGTGCCTGATAACACTGCCTATCTTGTCCAATAATCATCCATAACTAGGTAGGCATCCAAGTTTATTCCGTTAAATAACTCTCTATTGTGTTTCAGAGAAACTAAATTCTTTACACATATCATGCGCGACATATCAAGACACTTTTGTTCACAACCTTAATTTCTTCACTATTATTTTCAACTTACGGAGTACACTTGAGAAACACAAATCTGGCAATGTTACCTTAATCATTTCTCGCATGCTCTTCAATATGAATCATATTGAAACATAAAGAGCAACTCCTGTCGAAAAATAAATTAGTTGGAGGACTTCATCATGAGCTGATATCAGTTAGAGAATCACTGGAAAACTAACTGGGAGTACTGGATAGCCAACTGTTTCGTCAGCCTAGTTTGGGACTCTTCGTCAGTACGCACCCACACCACGGGGTTCGAACACAGGACCTTCTGGTTACAAGGCGAGCTTGCTTGTGGACCATTAACCCACTGGGACCCGGATCCAATGGCCAGTTCATGAATGTTAACTTCCACCAATTCATGACATAGAGCGACCACTTCTCAATATCTTCTGCTTCGATGAGTTACTCCCACACCTTCAACCTGCTGCACCCTACTGATCACGGCTTCCCACTACAACTTCAGGTCACTGTCTGAATAGGGCCAGTCGCTAGTGAGCATCAGATGAATTTTCAAGTATTGGTTTTTTCTAGGGAATTAGTCTGATTGGTTTGAACCCCGGTGGCTGCACACTGCTGAAGAGTCTCAAACTAGGCTGACGAAACAGCTGTCCAGTACTCCTTGAAGGTTTTTCAATGGTTCTCTAACTGATGTCAGCTCATGATGACATCCTTCAACCAATCAAACTAAATCCCTACAAAAACCAATAGTTGAAAAGGAATTAGACAATATGATAACTCCTAATCTTGACTAATTGCTTTGCACACATAAATACTTGCTTAGAGTCACTCGTTGGCCATTGAGAGCAGGAGAAATGAAAAGATTAGCTGTCTTTGATCATAGGTGTCTGCGTTCTATCTCCCGCGTGAAGTGGTATAATAAAGGGGGGGAAAATTAAGGTTAGGCGTCGAGTGCTAGGTAAGGAGGGGAAATCAATAGATGAGACTGTGAAATTACATCGACTGAGATGGTTAGGACATGTGTTACGTATGCCTAGTCATCGCCTTCCTCGACGATAGGCAATGTTAGCTGATATAGGGCCAGGCTGGAAAAGAGCTAGCGGCGGTCAAACCAAAACATGGCACTAGTCAATGAAATCTACAACACTTAGTCTAAGCCACGTAGGAAGGTGTAGACTTCTGTCTGGTTGGGGTCTTCGGGACAGTAAAAACCAATGGTTGGAAACAATTGGCTCAAAATCGTTCTCAGCGGCGCAGATGCATCCACTCCTTGTGACTTATGATTTCCAATGAAACTGTTTTGCTCTTCGTTATTACTATTCCTTTGTCTCACACCTCTCTTTACTGTCTATATTATGCATTTCTTCTACTTTCTTCTCTTGATTTGTGTGCTACATGGAGTGTGGCGACTTGAACTGCCGCACATATGTGCAAAGTTCTATGTCGAAAACCGACCGACCGACCGAGAGTCACTCGTAGACTAGTTCATTTTCAAAGGATACCGTTCGAAACCGGTTAGAAACGCCACATATCAAGTGGTTAATTAGTTAACAAACAGCTAAATGTTTGGTACGGATGTTCTGTACACTTAAGGAAGGAGTACCCACGACTCAACTCAGCCATGAATGTAAACTATTATTATCATTATGATTACTATAATGTCTTGTAGCCAGCACAATGATCTCCACTAAGTCTAATATACCACAAATATTTATCTCATACAGAATTCAGCCAATCTTATACAAACATATCTGTCTGTCTGTCTCTTTTCGACATAGAACTTTACACATATGTGCGACAGTTCAAGTCACCACACTCCATTTAGCACACAAAGCAAGAGAAGAAAGTAGGAGAAATGCATAACAGAGGTGTGAGACAAAGGAATAGTAATAACGAAGAAAAAGCAGTTTAACTGGAAACCATAAGTCACAAGGAGTGGATGCATCTGCGCCACTGAGAACGATTTTGAGCCATGTCACCAATTGTTTCCAACCATTGTTTACCGTCCCGAGGACCCCAACCAGCCAGTCAGGAAGTCTACACCTTCCTACGTGGCTTAAACTAACTGTTGTGGATTTCAGTGACTGATGATGCCATGTTTCGGTTTGACCACCATCAGCTAGCTCTTTTCCAGCCTGACCCTATATCAGCTAACATTGCCCGTCGAGGAAGGCGATGACTAGGCATACGTAACACATGTCCTAACCATCTCAGTCGATGTAATTTCACAGTCTCGTCGACTGGTTTCCCCTCCTTACCTAGCACTCGACGCCTAACCTCAATATTCCTCACCTTATTAAACCACTTCACGCGGGAGATAGAACGCAGACACCTATGATCAAGGACAGCTAGTCTTTTAATGTCTTCCGCTCTCAATGGCCAGGTCTCACGGCCATAAAGAAGGACGGAGCGGACTGCTGAGCAGTACACACGCTCTTTGGTCGATAGCCAGCCAGTCGGATATCACGTCTACGCCAGAGACGGCGTAAACTGGCATATGCGAAACTAGCCCTCTGTATTCGTGCTGATATTTCGTCAGAGATGGGCTGATGGTACTTCCCAAGTGAGTGAAGCGGTCAACGTGCTCTACCACTTCACTTCCTATTTCTAATCTAGGGGTCGGTGTAGTCCAATCCCGCAACATCATCTTACATTTTACAGGGGCGAATCGCATGCCAAACATACGAAGATTGTTGCTCAAGCTGTTCAGTAGACTCTGCATTTTGTCAGCGTCCTCGCCTAGAAGGAGTATATCGTCCGTATATTCTAAGTCGACGAGATTATTCCCTGGTAGTAAGTCAATCCCTGAGTCACTGATGTGTGTTAGGGTTAAGTCCATTAGTACGTCTATGATGAAGTTGAATAGAAATGGGGATAATGGGCATCCTTGAAGGACGCCACTAGTCGTCACCACTTCAGATGACAACTCTCCGTAAGCTCTCACCTGGCTGCATGAGTACAAGTAGAGTGTCCTAATCAGTGCAATGCATTTTCTCGGTATTCCCTTTACAGCCAAGTATCGCCAGAGAACCTCTCGGTCGACCGAATCGAATGCTTGTTGGACGCCGGTAACAATGCCTATGTTCCAGAGTCTGTCGAAGGGTGAAGATATGATCAATACACCCTCTTCCTGGCTTAATACCTGCCTGGTTCTCACGAGCACCACTTAGTCTACGCAATACTATTGAGCCTAGGACTTTAGATACTATATCAGTCAAGCTAATCCCTCTGTGATTATCACAAGAAGACTTGCCTTACAAACATATCTACACGAGAGAAAAAATGACTGAGATAAAGGTGGTCAACTTACCCCGATTTGACTTAGCATAACAATCGCTGTAATGATTCCATAAATGGCGACAGCTTCACAAAAAATAATACTGACCAAATTTTTTGTACGAATCCGAGGTGCTTTAACAGCAGCTCCGAGAATACTAGAGCCGGTTATATAAATACCCCTGCAAAACAAAAAAGACATACATTAGATTAGAAAGTAAGACGTGTGCAAATAACTTTACCACAAAAAATATGCAATCTTAGGTGCTTAATAAGGATTTCCTATGGAACAAGCACAATTTTAAAACGTTGAAAAACCGTCTTAAAACCACCTTTCCACGTGAATATTAATAGGCGTTAGAAAATTTTTAGAATTTTAGCTTATTTCTAATGCCGGAGACTAGTATAAAATCCACAAGAACACGTATCATAAGAACATCTTAAACACTGCCATACATTCATAAGTCTACAGAACAGTACGATGGAGTTGAATAATACAATGTCAGATATGCAACGAATGACAGACATTGAACTAATGAGTATCAGCACAACTTAGGATTCTTTCAAAACAACTTATGGAATTGGTTCTCTCTTCATATGTGCGACGTTACGTCATACAATATATACTTCAGACTATTACTTTATATGCAAATCCTAAGCGAAAAGGAAATATTTTGTGACTAAATACGCTTGATATCAGTGTAAGGCTTTCAAAGGTGAATGAAAACAAGGTAAATCCATTGTGTTACGACTGCAGCTAGTAATAATAAGGATAACCTTTAAATTGCAGCTAATATGTGGAAACATTGTAAGCAAATTTTCAGCGTATTTAGTCCCAAAATATTTCTTCTTCGCTCAGGATTTGCATATACAGTAATAGTCTGAAGTATATTGCATGACGCAACCTCACATATGAAGAGAGGACCAATTGCATAAGTTGGTGGAGCGAGCTGACCACTTCACTTATTTGGGTGGGAAGTTGCATCAGCCAGCCCCCAAGCGGGTTGATCGCTGACGAAATCTCAACACAGATACACCAGAAGGCTCGTTTCGCATATGCCAGTTTACGCCGTCTCTGGCTTAGTAGACGTGATATCCAGCTAGCTGGCTGTCGGCCAATGGACGTGTGTACTGCTCAGCAGTCCGCTCCGTCCTCCTTTATGTCTGTGAGTGAGATATGACCATTGAGAGTGGAAGATATGAAGAGGCCAGACAGTTATCTGTCTTTGATCATTGGTGCCTGAGTTCTATCTCCCGTATGAATTGGTATAATAGGGTGAGCAATATCGAGGTTAGGCATCGGTCGGGTGATAGGTAGGTGGGGGGGGGGTAAGTCAGTCGACGAGGCTACATCGACTGAGATGATTAGGACATGTGTTACGTATGCCTAGCCTAGCCATTGGCTTCCTCGAGTGACGCCAGTGTTAGCTGGCATAGAGTCAGGTTGGAAAATAGCTAGCTAGTGGTGGTTAAACCAAAACATGGCCTCATCAGTCAATGCAATCCACAACAGTTAATTTAAACCAGCCATTTAGGAAGGTGTAGACTTCCTGACTGGCTGGTTGGGGTTCTCGGGACGGTAAACACCAATGAAGGCTAGAGACAATTAGTGATATGGCTTAAAATCGTTCTCAGTGACGCAGATGCATCCGCTCCTTGTGAATCATAATTTCCAATGAAACTATATTGTTCTTCGATGTCACTATTCTTTTTGTCCCATATCCCTATCTCTACTGTCTCTATTTTGCATTTCTTCTTCGTTCTTCTCTTGCTTTGTGTGCTAAATGGAGTGTGGCGACTTGAACTGCTGCACATCGGTGCAAAGTTCTGTGTTGAAAACAGGCACACAAATATTAGTGTAGCAGTTCAAATTTGATACACAATTATTGCAAGTGGATTATAAAATTAGAAAATGAAACTGATATTAAGATATGGAAAACCATAAATAGTAACGATGATAAATTGGTACTACATAACGATCTAGATAAATTATCTGAATGAGCAAACCTCTGGAGTTTGGAAATTAATTCCATGAAAAGCGCGGTTATGCACCTGGGACAGAGGTCGTAAACGTTGTACTCTCTGGGTGACACAGCAGTACCACATGCCAAGGGCTTAGGAATTATTGTGAGCCATGACTTAAAAACAACGGCAAATTGTAATGCAGCCGCAGCTAAGGCTGTTCGAATGCTATGGACACTTCAAAGGGATTTCAAACGATTAGACAAGTGTATGTTCCAAGTACGCTATGCAACATATATCAAACCTCATCTAGAATACTGCATACAAGCGGCGAGTCCATGCATCAAAAAGGAAGCACATATCCTAAGAAGAGTAGATGGGGTAGCAACCAAATTAGTTAGTGGTATCTCACACCTTCCTTATGATAAGAAGGATGGGGAATTTAAATCTCTTCATACTATCATGACGAAGGAGAGGCGACTAAATTTTGGCATACCGTATATTAAAGGGTGATTTCAGGATTGATCTTTCAAACCTTTCCTGTTCCTCTAGGATATATTTACTAGGTCACCATAAGAAGGTGCTCAAACCGAGGCCGAATAAAATACGCGTGGAATTTCGATTTTTTCATAGAGTGGTCAACGACTGGGTCTCTCTATCTGATTCAGTAGCAACAGTTCCATCGGTGAACGCTTTCAAAGAGAAACTAGATCTCTGCAGAGATATATATCGTAAGGATTAACACAGTCAACAAGCGCCTTCTATCCTTATAATCTGAATCTGAACAAAATATAAGATCACAGAGAAAAGCCTTGAGTAAAACTCAATAATTCGTTGGTAGTGTGCATTCAGGACACCACGACAGATTCAAAGCAATATTCAAAGCTATATGTCCTATGCTACTGGGTCTAGTTTACGTGTACAATTTAACTATGTAACATACATTTCTCCATATACTTGTGATCAACTGTCGATGTCTCACCAAGTAAGCACATCGCGTTATTCCGATCTAATATTTTGAAAAAGGTGAAATATTAAGATGGGCAGTGCTTAGGAACGTGCATAAAATTTCCCCATCACCTCAGTCTACGGTTGTCTGAAGCCAAATTAACTGCGATGAACCCTGTGTGTTAGTACAAGCAACAGTAATACAAACACAACCAGTAAGTAGGTATATATTTTACAGTAATAATCATAACTCTGACTTAGGAAAGGAAAACATAAAAAGGGCAATTTAGAATCTTCCATTAGTGCTCACCAAGCGGCTCCAACGACAGACAAGGAGATAGCCAATCCAACACCCATTGCAGCCCACAGATATGGTGATGTTCCCGCGAGAACCCTAGGGAAAATCACAGTTACAACCGGCATACCATCCTATGTCGAATCTATGACCTTCACCGCTGAGAATGTAATAAAGACCTAGTGAAATTAACAGACAGTAAAGAAATGACAGTTACCGATTAGGACAAAAACGGAAATAGCGGTGTACACCGGTATATAATAGGCATTCAACCTGGTGCAGGTCATTCTGCAAAAATTCAAAATCCCCGCCTAATGCGTTAACCGATCTATTCAATACTCAACAGACGTTTATGAGGTGAAATGAACTAATTTTTGGTCAAGTGTTAATAATCTGTTTGAGTGCATGTTATGAGGGCGAAATTTGTGGGTATAATTCTTAAAGAATGTATTTCAAGGTAAACAACAAGAAGCATTATTGCATATTACGCTGATCTTTGTTTGTTCCTTATTCGTTAAGGCAGTGTACTGTGGACTAGATGATCAAAATGTTGTTTTATTGACTCTGCTGTGCTGGTTTATTGTTGAATGATCATTAATTTTTCGATTTTCTCATCTATCTTTAATATCAGTCGCGTTGAACTCAAGCTTTTTAGTTGAAATCTGAGTATTTTTTTCTTAATTCTGGAGATATGTCTTCTGCCAACAGAAATAATTCCTGATAGCGTTGTTGACGGCGTCTGAATTGGTCACTTGCACCTACTAAGAATCACCAAAATAAAGCAGATCTCGGGAAACGTTAGCATACACAACTTCGAAGGAATAAAATGTCATTTGGGCCAGGCTTATCCAAACGTCTCCACCCAAAAATCAAGGACATTCATCGATTCAAGTCCCAAATAAGACACATTGATCAGGCAGTCAATAAGTATTTCAATACAAGCCTAAAGCTTACCTTACTGAATAAACCACAGTATAATCCTAAGTGGGCAAACAAACTTCCGCTTTGGAAAATCTGTAATATGACGTCATATCAGACCATACGTTCCAAAGAAACGCACAAACACTCCTGCAATCTTAAGCAGTGCTCAATAGACTCTGTGCTGCTTTCTCAAAGTCGATGCAGGTTTTACTTTCTCATTTTTCAAATGTTGCAATGGAATAACATTTATGTACCTGTAACACTACTGCCAATGGAATCGAGGGTAACGTCATCCAACTAGCTAATACTGTTACAGAAAGGCACATGCAATCATGCAAGAAATTAGCCAGTAATATCTCGTTGAACCCTGTGTATCCTCTTTTCACTAAAAATTCTTTGCATTTCACCAAGTGGGAATAGAAGCAACTTTAGAAGAATTTGTGCTCAGACGACTCTTCAATGCCTTCTTTGTCATACATGTTATTTTTTGAGGAAAGTGTACGGCATAATACTACTAATCCACTAAGTAAGTGTTCCTTTACATTCTTCCCTTCATAGTTATATTTTTGTTAATATTTCACTTTGAATTTTAATCCAATACTGTTTTTCCTATTTAAAAATACTATCTGGGCAAATGATCCGTTCGATTGATTCCCCACTGTATCAGGTAAATTGGAAATTAGATGCAATACTGCATTACATGGTGAAAATTCCATACTCCTATCGAAAGTACTGTTTCGAATAAAGCTATTATTATTAAGGCGGATGAATGCCAACTTTAAGGGACGCTGGTGGAAATAACGACAAAATGGAAGAAGCCGGATTTGTGAGGTCGAACTTCCATTGTAATGGAATCAGCAAAGTAGGGAGGGTGGCGCATACTGATCAGCAGATATGGTAGTGGTCACAATGGTGAATCTCTCCAATATGTAGGACAGCAACATGCATTTTTTAACAGCTCGAGAATTAAACATTAGTCTGGACCCTCAACAAAAACAAAAAATAATAAGGGCTGTACAGATCTAAATTATAAAAAAAAAGTGCTTTCGCTCCTACCAGCTACAAGCCTGTTCAGCTTCTTGTCAAGGTTTGATCTCATGGACCCTACAGAAATTCGCCAGACATCTTACAGGTCCGCTTGTTCTACGGCTTCTAATCTTCCAGATCTTTGAATTCACTCCTCAGTTAAATATCACTTACCTACCTCACGATGACCTTTTTATTTACCCACTATTATACTCTAGCTGATCTTAACTATCTAGGCCTTTACTGAAGCTAGAACTTGCTCTTTGTTCATATCTGTTGCTTGCCTTAAGTCTGGTTGCTTTGATTAAAAACACAACAACACCAATGTTTGAACAAAGCTATATTTTCATCGGAAACGTGATAGTTTCCATGGTTAGACCAATATGGTAAGCATTAAACATTGCAAATGTAAACTATCATTTCAAATACCATATAGCATCTTCTCCTTGTATTTGTCTTGTAAATATACTTCCAATTATGTATTATTCATAATTGCATTTTATACCATTTTGAAGCTGCGCAAAATTTTCTCCTCTTCATGAAATAGCGTTCAATCACGTGGCGGTATAGCACACACCCAGGTATACGCTGTTCACTGGTAGGCCATAACTATCAGCAGGAAACAGAACGAAGTTTGGGTTGTCGCTCAACTTTGATGATGACCTTAGTGAAGGGTTTGCAATTTAACATTTATAAGAACCTGTTCTGATTGCTTGTGCAATAATCGGACAATTTAAACCTATGAGAAGGTATTAATTCATGATACTGTAGTGACCCATTTTATTACTCATCACCGTACTATACTTTCATTGTGTAATTGTACTTTGATTTGTTTATTACCCTAAATCTTGCGTGTTAACAATTGATACATTTGATTTCGCTCAAGTTTTGAATTTTGATTACGGCGAGAATACACACTCCTACGCCTTCTCAAGTGTCTTCTGATTTACGTTGTGTGTGTCGAGTAAGCACAACGTTAGGACACAATTATAAACGAGAAGAAGTATTAGGATATACGTATACGGTAGTTTAGTCAAAATATAGCAGCACAACAATACTGCAGGATTGTAATTTATAACATAACTCATCGGGCCTGTAGAAATGGCATGCATTTCTCGTTAACTTACTTGTTTAAAGGAAATATAATTTATTTATTTATTTTGATTTACAGCTTGATTCCACACCGTATTTTCAGTACAAGTGTGGAATTTTCAGCATGGATATCGGTAGCCCAAATTCAGGCCGACCATAGATATCGGGTGTGCGCCGGCAGGGGATCGAACCTCGGACCATGTGCATGGAACGCACATGGACGCAGATTTCTAGTTCTCGTAGTTTTCACAAATTTCACAAATTTGTCTGGCATTGTCTAATAAGGTATCTCCCTCTGTAAAATATATCTGAGGCTCTTTGGATGGTTCGTCTCACCAGTGGCCTGAAAATGAATAACTCGACTGAGCCTTTGCTGGTCTTCAGATGCCCCCACTCGTCCGGCCTGACTTTGAACTCTGCTGGTTCTTCTAAAGGCCACTCTGCAACATTCTATGTTCTTACTGACCCCAACAATCACATTCGAAATCTCAATTGTTCAATGCGGACAACCCGGAAATTTGAGAAACCACAAGGGATGCGACTGAATCCAGGAACTTTCTGGATGGTTTCAAAATTCTGATGGAACTGAGAAACGAGAATTTATCCCGGAAAGACATGAGACGTTCCGGTAGGTGCCTCAATGAATTAAAAAAGCTTTTTTATCTCTGCGACTTAACCTAGGTTCGTACGGCATGAGAAAATGGTGTGCTGCGTCTTTAGTGAAGAAGGTAGGCAAAAACCAGAGATTCCATCATGAATAAGATTTTATTTTGATAAATCACACAGTGTTATACTGCAAAATTAACTGATGACGTTTAGAGCACAAACTATTTCTCATAATCATATCCAGAGTAAATGAGACGATGTGGGTGTTCCAGTAGGCCATTATTGGCTTCTTTGTGGAAACTATGGAAGATCACTCATCAAAGTGCGAAAACTTTAGTGCCCTCCTAATGCTGCTCCTTTTGACTATTCAGTACAGGTAACATCTTTAGTTGGGGCGCTCCAAACCTAGCTAGATGAATATGCAATAATAGACGAACTGCTTCAAACTTTTACTTCACCGGACAGAAATAGGAGAAGTCTTTAAATAGAGCATTTCTCTCAACTACCCTCAGTGGTATCACTCGATCAGTTCAGTTGGCTGTCTTACTCAAAGTCCTTCAAGTCTGAGAAAGGTGAGCGGCTGGATAGAACCCAAAAAGAAACACTGGCGATGAGGACTGTCACTCATCAGCAAGTAATGCACTGATCCATTGTGCCCTGTTGAACGGATGTTAGGTCCTAGTCTGTTTTCGTTCATTGTGGGGAAGATCCCAATGGCATGAGAAAGACAATCTCAGAAACTGTAACTACCATGAAACAAGCATTAAGCATTACAAGCAAAGCACAACCACCTATTAAAACCTTAGCATTAGAGTGAAAACGTCGCCTATTTCTAGACTTAATGAAATACTGATGCTGTTTTTTCAAAACCAAGAGGTGAGTAAGAACAAACCTACAGCTAACACTATACCATTATCAATGCATCATCTATCATGCAGATTTTCCATGACTTAAGACCACAGCTTAAATGTAAAAGTAGATAGTTTCAGGTCACCACTGAATTTAAAATATCCTCTCCAGATGGAAAATACCTATTTTGTGAATTATCCGCTTTGGAAACCTGTTCTTCCAAGCCGGTGAATTAAATTCAGCCATTACTGACATATTAAATCTCTGTGTAGTAAGCCAGCTGTCTCGAACTACTGCCAAAGCTTCAGGTGCCTCTTCTATAGCAGCATCTTACATGGAGATAATACAAAGATCTCATAGGCTGTGTTTATCGAGCACCATGCTCAACCAAACAAACTGATGCGTTATTAGCTAAACCGTTTGCACACGCCTCCTCGTTTAGTATTAATTACATTAATCTTTCAGAAGTCTACTGGTTAAGTAGTTCCGGCCCCCAACGCTTCGATGAATTACTTGCCACTATCGCCTGTTATTCATGGCAACAACACGTCCAGACACCCACCCGTGGTGACAACATGCTGGACCTTGTGTTTTGTCATGGCATAATCCCAGCCTCCACCTATGTTGGGGACAGATTTTCCAGCGGTGACCGTAGAATGGCACTCTACTCTCTGCCTTTCTCACCACTAAATACAGGGAACAAACAAGATTCAGGGAGAATGATATGTCGTAGTTACAAACATACAGACTGGGGATCAGTCCAAGAACTCATTCGACTCTGTCAGTGGGATGACTATTTTACCACTGACTCCCTGTGGCTATAGTGTCACCATTTTGCAGGAATGTTACCCTTTTTCTAGATACTGTTGCTCCAATGAAA